GAAGCTTATCTCCGCTGTGGCTCTCACCCCGAAACATATGGCTGGCAGAGGGAAAAGGGTTCCGTCGACTAGATTAGAACCAGCGACTGTTTGCGTACCGGCCCAGCACATCAGGTGTCGCACGGCTGTTGAGTCATGGCCAGCGGAGCGCGAAAAATATCACCATCAGCCAGCCGAGATTCGAACCGGCGACAAGGATAATACAGGGCCCGGACGCTACCGACTTGGCCACGACGGAACGATACAGAGTACCACTTTCAGCGGCATCTTGATCTAAGCTGTGACCGACGCGCCCGAAGACACTTGGCCAGTAGAGCAGGGAAAAATGACCACGGATGGGAGTCCAACCAACGACCTCCCGCACGATCTGCCAACGATCACGCTTTAACACGCTCGGCTACCAGCTTGCTCCTACGGGCCCGAGGTCTAAGCTCGGTCATGCCTAACGGGAGACAAAAAGCGACCAAGAAAAAATTTGCCCCGCCCGGGAGTTGATCTTAGGGCCGACAATTTTGGTTCGGATGAAGCTGCATGTGGTCATGTCGACTGTCTGTAGCTACAACTGTTTAACTACAAAAGGGGCGTGTGGCTAGTGGCGTCGGACATCGTATGTTGCCCCATTTGTGACCACATTGGTATCGCCGCCGCTCAGGCGCTGATGGTAGGCCACCATCTCCTCACAGACACTTGGCGGGAAGGCCTACACGACGCGCCACATGCGTTGTCATTCGGAATCGAAAAAAGTGGCTCTATGACTTTCCCTTACCAACAGTGTTTCTATGAAACAAACTTACGAGTCGCTGTGGTCCAAAATGTCGCTTTCCCAGCGACCAAGTCCCGTCCGACCTCTCACTAGGGGAACCCGAAAAAAGTTATCGCCATATTTTGCTACGTTGTTCCCAGCACTTCTAAACGCACAAATAGGTGTATGTAATGTGAACAAAAAAAAACTATTTCTTTACACTAATTTTTTTTTAGCAGTCAGCGTCAGCGTAGATGACTCGTCCCCTGGAGCGTCGACTCGTATCTCGCCTCTATGGCTCAGGCGAGGCGGTAGCGGTGCCTGGCACCTTGCTGTGGTGGCGGGTGCACTCAAGCCGCCCATCTGATGTGTGCTGTCGCCGTTGAACGAAAAAGTTCAAAAGATTTTAGTGTGTAAAAAATTGTTTTCCCTTCTATTGGTGCAAGAGGGGTGTATGAGTAATTATCTGGTCGTCATGGTCGTCAGTTTTTGCCTTGACTTTTATTTTTGATTTGTACATCGGTGTATTTTACAATGAAGTTGAATGCAACGCCGCTGATAACGCTCACGTTTCGACAATTGCTAAACCTAACATTAATGAGAACATTCGTCAATGCTGGTCTATGGGGTAGTTTTCAGAAAATAATATGCGGAAGAGTGATCGCTTCTTAATTTCAAGAGGAAAATTTGACAAAAAAAAAAAAAACAAAACAAAAAAACAAATGCGTTTTTTAAGCTGGCGACGCAACAAGGAGTTCATAGAAAAGTCAGGGAGAAATAATGGCCAGGAAAGTCATAGGAAAAGTCCTGGAGCTTGAAGGTAAAACGACAGGAGTTTGCTTCAAATTCTTGTTTTTGAGCTCGTGATTTTGGTGGCATTTTCAATTTTGGAGGAGACGAAAAGTTCAATTTAAAAAATACCGCAAAAAGTCACAGAAATCGCGTCAAACGGTCAGGGGAAGGTAAGAAAAAAATGTCGGGGAATTTGAATTGCGTGGCCACCCTACGGTGGTTTTACGACCAATTCCTTATCGAAAACCACAATTCCGCATATCTCATTGCTGCTGAATGACTTAAAGACAATATAAAAACAAGAAGTATACAGGAGTCACTGGGATCTTATACAGTATGATTAAAATAAATACTTAACAAAAGCTTACACGAGGATCATTCGAAACGCAAAAATTAAAGCTAGTAACTATGCTTTTCATGAAATAGAGATTTAAATACTAAATTGAAACTAATCGCCACTGCGTAAATATATCACAACCGAAAGAAAAGCTGTACAAGATTTACAAGTATTATCTTGTAATGATGATAAGGACGTAGCTTTATGAGATGGGAGTGGCAATGTTATTCCAGTATATTACTTTACTAAATGCACCTTAAATACTGGTATGACTTGTCTCGAAAAACGTATAATTAAAAAGACACAGCCGGCTCAGGATATACACTTTGCCGAAGCAGACTAGAGGACCGCCGGCTGCGAGTTTAAGAACACGGAAAAGATGACTCAGTTTTTGTGATATCAAAAATCAGCAATTAAGTAACAAGATAAATCAGTCATGGCAACCAACAATTAGTCATGACATCCAAAAATATTGTCGTAGAAGACAATGCACAAGGCGAGGAAGCAAACTTGGATAGATGCTACGACCAAAAAGAAAAAGTCGTGTTAGCAGAGATTTTTGATCGCTATACGACTAAATTTTTGGATGTGGCTCGTGAGACATTAGTTTGATCAGATAAAGAAATAAGTCGTCATTTAATTACTGAAATATCAGTTCTGGCAACAAATTCTCAGTTGCGATTGCAAATTGATTTTTTTTCCGTGAACACAAAGAGATAGGGGGGACTATGAATAACAATATGCCGACATCACATATTACCTTTGCTATAGCACCACAAGAGAGACATATCTGCGAGTATCTAATCGGCATCCGAGCTGCGTCTCTATACCTCCACTGCCTTGACACCCAAAAGGTGTCTATTTCACTGTCGCGGGACACCCATACATTTCACGAGAGTTCCATCGACTGACGACTCTATCACACCGCCACGACGACGGGTCAGGGTGAGGGCTCCGCTCACGAAGTCCCTTGTCCACTGCTGCTGCCGCTGCGTTACAGGGGCGGGCTCGGCAGCCCCGGGCCCAGGCTCAGCGAGCCCTGGCCATCCTGGCTGTCGTCGCCGCCGCCGGCGGACGCGTGGCCCGCGGTGGGGGAGGACGCCGAGCTGCCGCCGCTGCCCGCCGACGCCCCCGCCGCCGACGACGACCCGATGTCCGGCGGCACCAGGCCCTCCTTGAGCCGCTTCTTCTGCTTCATGCGGCGGTTCTGGAACCAGATCTTGACCTGGGTCTCGTTGAGCTGCAGCGCGGAGGCGATCTCGATGCGGCGCGCACGCGTCAGGTACTTGTTGAAGTGGAACTCCTTCTCCAGCTCGGTGAGCTGCTTGTTGGTGAAGTTGGTGCGGCCCGAGTTGGCGAGCAGCGCCGCGGCCGGGCAGCTCGCCGACGGGCTGAGTGACAGCGCCGGCCCCACGCCCACGCCGCCGGCGGACGCGCCCGCGGGCAGCGACGCGCCGCCCACGCCCGCGAAGCCGACGCCCACGCTGCCCGCGCCTCCGCAGCCCAGCTCCCGGAGCGCCTCGGCCGCCGCCTTGGGAACTGCAACAGAAGCAAAAGCGGTTCATGTTTAGTTGGGGTCACTATACCTGCGACAGACGCGTCGCCGCCGCACCCTTGGCTGGCCACACAGCAAGAGGATATCCACCCAGCCAAGAGACAGGACGGGGCTCCGAGACGTCCGAGTCCCAAAGTCGGTCCGAAATTTGTTAGACGTTCGCAAGGCAAGACAGATCGGGCGCGTCCCCCAGCCTGTCCTGCTACGCTCCCCTGCACGGGGATCAACGCGGATCCCCTCCCCTACCTCCATCACCCCGCCCCGCCCCGCCCCGCCCCGCCACCTCCGCGCACCTCCGACACGCGTTTGTTTTAGCCGCGCTCCCTCTCTAAACCCCGGGTGGAGTTGGAGTGGCCGCCCTGAGGCCGTGTGGGAATGACTCTTCGCTTTGCGGCCGCGGTCACGCAGAGCCACGTGTCCACCACGCGCGAGTATTCGTGTGGGGCGGATCAAGCGGGCCGCACCGAGGGGGTGGCAAAGTGAATTTAGGTGTAGTTATTAAGAAACCCCGACTTTTCGACAAAAGTACTCGTCAGGGCCTTAGCTGGGGCTTAGTGTCGCCCAAGGGGTCGAGGGGGTCGGGGGTAGGAAGCGGAGAGCGCTGTACAGAGGGTAATGGTACGTCTAGGGTGAGGGGGTGGGGGTGAGTTAATGATTTCGAAAAGGAATCAGAGGCACGGCCAGCTCTCGTCACTCCAGTCGCGGGGCGCGCGGGGGCCCGGCCCGGCCCGGGGGTGGCGTTGGAGTGCGTGCCGGCCTGCAGCGCCACCGGGCAGCGCCACAGGCAGCGCCACGGGCAGCGCCACGCGGAGCGTATCTGAACATCTTGACGGCTGTCTGACCGGCCCGGCCGCGGCGGGACGGGACGGGACCGGGCCGGACCGGCCTGGCCTGACTGACTCCCTTCTGCGATCGCTATCACGCGCTCGGCCAGGAGCCTTTTCGAGGAGGGGAAAGGGAGCGGGGATCGAGTGGGGGCGGGCGGGGGTG